TTATTTAGATCAGCAATGTCGTTAATATACACGAGAAACGATATTGGACCCAGCACTGAACCCTGTGGAATACCTATTGTGTTTTTCAGTGAATCACTGAGACACTCTTCAATTTTTACTTGTTGTGTCCTGTTTTGTAAATAATTTTTTAATAGATTCAGTGCTGTGCCACGTATGCCAACTTTAGTGTCGAAAGCTTTGGCAAGTCAAGACATTTTTTTGACTTATCCAAGCCTCCGACAATATTTTTAAGATCCATGATTGCATCTTCTGTACTCATATTTTTCTGAAATCCACACTACTTCTCTGTGATACACTTATGCTTGGTAAAAAATTTCATCAGACGACTTTTCGAATATTTTTGCAAAGTTGTTTATAACTGAGATGGGTCTATAATTGCTAGGGGTTTTGTAATCACCAGATTCATGAATGGGTGTGATAATTGCATTCTTCCACTGGGAAGGTATTATACCTGTTTCGAAAAACAAATTTATTAAATGTTTCAAGGGGGCAATAATACTAGAGTGTATTGATTTTATTAATGTTGTGGATATTTCATCTTCTCCAGCGGCACACTTATTTTTCAATATTGAGATGGTTTCAATTAGTTCATTATCTGTCACTGGGTCTAGAGATATCGATTCATTCAGAGTTTTATCCGAAGTTATAAAATTTCTATGTGGATCCTTTCTATTTTTTTGTCTAATCTTTTCTGCTAAGTTATGCCCTCTATTTGTGAAGTATATGTTGAAGATATTTGATTTTTCTGTGTTATCTGTAATCTCCTTTCCATTTGTTCCTAGTGTGTTTATCGTTCCTAATTCCTTTTTCGACGAAGTTGAATTGCATGCACAATTGATCACTTACCAAACTTTTTTATAGTTATTTCCTGCTTCCATTAGTTGGTTTTCATGAAAATTATTTTTTTGTTTGTCTTATTAGATTATTTAACATATCTCTATAGTTTTTGAATTCTATTTTGAGTTATTCAGAGAAATCTTTTTTTAGTTTATTCTTCAAATAATCCCTGTGTTTTATTGATTGTATTAGAATAATACAATCTATAAAATAAAAGGAACTATAACAAAGGATATGCCGACAATTCGACCCTGATATTTACTATTAATTTAACCTGTTGAATAACTACACATGCACCCACTCAGTACAAAATACTTTTAGTTTTACTTCTACTCTAGGGAAAGTGGTGTATAACTTTAAATTTTCGCCTTTTTTTGTAATTGTATCATGAACTCTAGCTAAACAATCAGCACTAGGAACCCAACAATATGTAAGCTCCTTGCAAATAGAAAGTGGATCCAGACAAAGTAATATGTGAACTCTCTCTAAACATCAACTGGTTAGTAAAAAAATAACACTGACATAACGCCTTTTTGGGTGGTTCATGGTCAACCATCGGTTCTATTGACCCAGTGTGTTTTCAACACCAACACTTTAATTTCGAACTCCCCTGTACCCGTTACCGGTTTATGATTTCACTACCGATTTTACTTAAATTTCGCACCACGCGCTTACAAACAAATTAACTCCCCTATTTAGGCCACCTCTCTCAGCCTCGAAGGCTGAGGAATGAGACCCCCGATCTCTTCTCGACGAGATCCGGTGACCGACTTTTTTGTGTCTCTCTGAAGAAACTCTCCCAAGCCCTCGCGTCAACAACGCTAGCCTCAAATACCTCATCTCAGCGTTTTTTTAACCTTCCCAAGCTAATGATAATCGGCAGGATGCAATATATTCATTTGTTTAGACTAGCTCAAATTTAACATGACCACAACGACGCTCGAAGGTCCGACAGTTACAACGTAATTCAGCGCTTTTTCAACTGGAAAAATATCGACACCGAAAAAATGGGTGATCGACCTCGATCTCAATGAATAAAATAATATTTCATGTTAATATCGCAATGGCAGTTATTACACTGGCCTACAAGGTCCCCCGACCTAAACCCACCAGACTTTTTCCTTTGGGATCAAGAATCATGTGTACTCTCATAATTTTCAAAATGAAGAAGATTTGCCAAGATTGGTTACTGCATCCTTCAGCAATATTGTTCCGAGACGAGCGTACTTGTGCTTAGAAAATGACGGTGGGTTATTTAAACACTTGTTATAAGTTTCTGTTCATTTCCCATAATACATATAAGCTCCTTGTTATTACATTACAATTACATTTTATAAACTAAACTTTTGATATTGCGACTCATCTTTGTATTCAACAAGGCAAAAATTCCAGCAAGTGGTAAGTTGAATAAAATTTATTATAAATACGAATAATCAATTTACTTCTAGCGCGAAGGTACTATCTAAAATTGAAGAATAGCAGGTTAAGAAATCACTTCTCATTATGCGCAAGAAATGGTTATGAAATCAAATTGTGTGATACGTTGCTGTATTCACAATGGAAAATGGAGTCGTGAACAGGGTATACTTCAGTTTCGACCCATATAAAAATACAAAGTTGATGATGTTTTCCAAAAGACGAAATGTCGCAGAAAAATTCTGCTTACGTTATCGTGTAGTCCTTGAAAAGTGGCCATGGCAAAGTGCTATTTGTTTTACATTTCCTTTGAAAATAAAGCTAGGAGGAAATGAAAACGAAATTCTCAAATTTCGGTTTTTCTCGGATAACTCCGAAACTACTCGGAATATTGAAACTTTCAAAATGACATATTATTAGCACATGAATGAGCTACTTTTCTCTAATTCTCTTCATTCTTATGTGGGATACAGTGTATAAAGCGAAATTCATCGACCTCAACTGCAAGACAACATATCACGTCGCTAAGAGAAACCCTACAGTCTGTATTCTTGTAATAATGACATTTGATAACATTCACTCAAACAGAAGAAGATTCAAAACTGCCAATTTCAGTATTGAAAAAGGTGGGTATTTTTTTACTTGAAGATGACACAAAATAAATTTCGACATCAACCTTCAAAATGACTCACTACATAATACAAAAACGAGGCAATCGCAATCTTCCTTCTCACGTCGCATAGTTTCAATTTTGAATTATTATAACAAAAGCGTTTGCACAAAAGAAAATTTTTCAAAATTATGGGATTAAACGCATTTTGATATATGGTTATATTTTTAGGAGGGATTAATTTTTGGGAAAGAAATGTTCTGGTCTTTTACTTCCCCATCTTCATACAAAAAAATGAATGAATCTTTGAAAGAAAAGAAGAAAACAATCAATTTCGAAATTAACTCTTTACAAGGACGTGTAGATCATGCAAAGAGGCAACGTTCAGACAAAAAAGTGAAGGAAAGTTCTCTCAAAACAACTACTTTCATGTAAACGTTGAATCACGCAAAAGAAAAATGTTTCTTATTCAGTTTATACTCCAAACATTATTTATGGAATCAAATCAGGTGTCATTCACAGAATTGTCACACAATATAGTATATGAAACAGGTAACATTTCACTAACATGGAACACTGTCATCCTCAATGGCGAACATCCGATTTTTCGGAATAAGACACTTGCCTTATTGCCTTTTCAGCACCAATTTTACTTTCTTTGGAAGATTCCCACTTTTTTTGTATAAAGATGGAGAAGTAGGAAGCCAGAATTTTTCTTGGCCAAAAACATCAGCATATCCGTTAGAAGAAAAGTCCTAGTCATCTCCTCATGATGTCGAGTTGATGAGCGAAACGCGCGTCCATAGATAGCATTTCTCTTCTGGTGGAGGACAAATGTCAATAGATACTGATTCGTAAATTTAATGTACCAATAATATATCAAAAAATAATGTTGTTTTCTTTCATAACTATGTTCAAATGTTTAAGTTTATGAATTGAAGGGGTTATATTTTTAGGAGTGATTAATTTTTGTGAAAGAAACTTTTGGCTTTTTACTACTCCATCTTGATACAAAAAAGGACGAGGGAATCTTCCAAAGAAAGGAAGGAAGTAATCAATTTGAAAATAAGTAACTCTATACATGGATGTGTAGATTATGCAAAGAAGTAACTTTCAGACACAAACTGAAAGAAAGTCCTCCTGAAACAGCTACTTTCATATAAACATTGAATTACACGAAAGAAAAGATTCTTTCGAAACAAATACTTCTATATGAACACTGAATTACACAGAAGATACTTTTCTCCACTCAGTTTATATTTCAAACATTCGTAAAGGAATAAAAATCAGATATCATTCACATGAGTTCTACTTTAAATGAATGGTAACAAATTGCACTTACATGGAACACTGTCATCCTCACTGGTATACATCGATGTTTCGCCTTAAGACACTTGCCCCAAGGCTCTTCAATACCAAATTGGATAACATTATAGAAAATACACACATGAATTACGATTTTTAATGTCACGGAATAAGCTTGATCTGCTTATGTATAATCTTGTGGTGCTGGAGTGCCTTGCTGTTGAAGTGGACTGTATTTGTATCGTTATTTCTGTACTTCTATCGCTACCACTCGAATCTGTGCTGGTTCTGGTAATTGAAAATGCTGTTGCATATATTTAATGAATGTAAATTTTACGGAGTTACAAAAACCAACATTTCTAACTGTCGTTGTTGTAAGTTTATGTGTTGTATTTATCATTTTCTCAATACCCACACACCACTTATGTTCAAGTTCTTCCAAGTAAGTTGTCGATCAAAGTTCAGAGTTTCAGCTTTCCCAGCTGAACCTCGCCCATTGATCATCTTTCCACTTCTCTTGTGTTGATTTTAGTATTATTGATGTTATAAATAAAGACATTTATTATCATCATTATTATTTCTCTAGATCATTTCTACGAATTGTGTGTTATAGAAAAAAAATTGAAGATTATGCTCGACGATAAAATGCTTTATCAACTTGTGAACTCTTTCGCGCGTTGATAAAACAATTTTTATCATCTTGTTGTAGTAAATTATTATTCGATAATAAGTTTGACCGTTTTATTTACTTCCACATAAATTACTTAATTATTTACTGTAGTGTATTTTTAGGCCGAGACTGACCTTTACTTTATCACTCCTGCAGAGGATCATCTTCGAAAGTTTACATAAGCACCATCGTCGGGAATTTTACTCCAGTGTTGCTTGTCTAGGCAATAATATACAATGCATGAACTACTCGCTTTGGTGTGTTTGTTGTGTTACTCTTCTGTTACTGGGAATTACCAAGAAGACTGGAGGACATTGCACGGGAATGTGGATTCCCCTGACCATGTGAAGGACCCGATTACTGCTGACTCCTCCTTAAATGACGGATTTATAAAGGTACATCTTAGATTATGAAAGTATCATCGAATTGTTTTCCATAATCATCAGAAAACTACTGGGTTGAAAATTTGAACGTATTCGAATAAGAGTTCATTGTAAGATTTTCACTCAATAGTTCACGAAACCCGAAATGTGTTCAGTACTAACCTGATTTCTAAACTATGCTTCTTAGATATAGTGAAATAATAGTATTGATACAATATTTGAGAGGTCTGCTGTATGCAAGGGCGTCGCCAGCTTAACTAAGGGTGAGGCAATGTGGCAATATTATGGAGGATAAAAAATATGAACGCCTGGTATAGTCGAAAGCATGAAGCGTTACATTCTGGAAGTCTTTGCCTCGATGACGATTGTAATAAGAACGGTTCTGATATCAATGTATAAAACTTCACAAGCCCTCGACAGCACAATAACTAAATCACTTTATAACACAGTAATATTTATTCATTTTAATAAAAATTATATTTAATTCAAACATAACCTGCGAGGATTTTTTGCAAAACTTTCAACCACTTCATCATTGAAATCATTCAGGTTTTTATTTATTATAGCCCTGTGTACACTCATCATGGCCAGACCATTGAGGCAATCTTCTGTCATGGTGTTTCTTAGCCATGTTATCAGTCTTCTGAGGCTGCTAAAGAGTCGTTCTAATGTACAGGTCATGCATGGTAAAGCAATCAAAATTTTCAATGCTTTTTTTCGTTTCGGGAAAGAAGGAAAGTGTTTCTTTTAGGACATCAACAACTGTAAGATTTGTTGGATTGAGCCTATCGTGCCACAATTGCTGCCAAAGTTCGATTTCATTCTTTATGTTCGGTAAATCACAAAACTGGGCAATAAATTCACAAGTTTGTTTCAAATTTTCAGTTGTAATCTTTTCCATCTGCGCCCGGTGAAAAAGAATGCACCTACCACGTTC